CTCAAAGAGTAAGCCTATTTAAAATCTAAATATTAATTAGAACTTTGTCGTTAAATTATTCTTTAAAGAAAGTCATGACGATTTATGTTACACAAAAATTTACTTAATGAAAATCATCGAATAGGACATGTCCCTTGACTGTTATATATATTTAACTATTAATTTTATTTATTCTATATACTATATACATTAAACTGTATCTTTTATTCGCATTAATCAGCTGGGTGAATATAAAAGATATTGTATTTTAAAATAAACTACCCGTAATGTTTATCATTACATGTATAAAAAGTTACTATATATGTATCATATGAGTGCAACGGAGCTGAGTTAGTATTAAGCAATGCTAGTCAACCCGAAATATATCTGATAACAATATTTACTTACTAAATAAAGCTACATACAATATTTACAACTTTTTTAAGCCTCCCAGCTACAAGAAATAACTTTTCTAAAAATTACTTTAAAGAATACAGCACTAGTGGAATGTTATAATGGCTAACGACATTACGGCTTGTGGCATTATGGCACGTACTGTATTAATTTACCAAATTAATTCTACCGCCAACACTAATCTAACGTGATCAAGTATTTGTATACCAAGACATCAATTTTACATGTTATACGTAATGATGGCGTAATTTTATTGGCTATTCACTTACTGCGGCATAAAAAATTTTGGATTTTTGTAAATTCTATGCTGAACAAGTTTATTTAGAAGACAAAAGTAGGTTCCACTAGTAAAAAAAAATAAGTTAGCACAAAATTTTACGTTACATATCTGTCAAAATACGTTTTCTCAAACCTTTTACTAAGTAAAAAATTTTTTTTAAAAAAAAAAAAATTTTATATGAAGTTAATACAATTATACTTAGTAAAAGGTCTGAGAAAACACATTTTGACAGATATATATATACGTAAAATTTTGTGCGAACAAGTTTACTTAGAAGGTGAAGATAGCTTACCTTAGTAAAAAAAAAAAAGTTGTACATAGATAAACTAAAAATTTTATCTTTAGTACATAGTAACTTATTTTTTTTACTAATGTAACCTACTCTTGTCTTCTAAGTAAACTTGTTCAGAATTTTACATATAATCACATTTTCTAAATTAGAAAATTTGCAATTTTAAATAACCTTAATCTACTATTTTTGATATGCTTAACTCTAAAATTTGAAATAAGTTAATATGTAAGTTGAAAATAATCTGGAGCTTAAAGTTAGTATACTCTTTGTGACATATTCCCTGACTGATAATTTTTCAAAAATAATCTTGTTTCGACCGAATTTATTTAATCGACACCAACTAATCGAAGAACCAAAGTAAACTAATTATAAGTTATCTGAACGGTTTTTTAGAATACCCAGGCATTCCAAAAACAACAATATAAAAATCGAAATCACTATAAAATCACTATATAAAGTCACTTAGAGAAAGAAAGAGACACCCGATATAATAAAACCTTTTAAATTATACTTATCTATTAACTGAAAAGACAAAAACGTCATAATGCGTAACATGTATTAACTAAAAAAACAAAAATGTTATAACGAGTATTAACTAAATATAAACATAAAAACGTAATTACGATTGTTAATTAAAAAGCATTGGATTAACATTATTGCGACATTGATTATCATCTATTGTTGGCATTTCATGGATTACTTTATTGATAATAATATATTTAATTGATAATAATATATTTAACGCTAAATAAATTAAAGAGCGATTATCCTTTACCGTTACAGTATAATTAATTTTTTGATAAAATATTTATCGTGGCTTAATTAATGATGTATCTGATCAAACTTTGCAGATCGCAGTTCACACGTACAATCACTTGATTGTCGTTCGATTACGCGATTGTAAAGTGATTTTTATTAATAATAAATAAAATATTTTTAAAATTTATGCCTTTCCTATATTCATATTCTCAAAACAATTTCGTCAATCAGACAACAATTAGTTGATTGTGTTAGATGCGATCTGCAAAATTTGATCAAAGATACATCATTTTTGCAAACCACGATTTTATAACGTTAAAGACTTCCGTAGAATTCACTAGAATTAAAAAGATGTTAAAAGTTCAGTACAGCCTAGTTAAAGTTCTATCCTCAATTCAGTCTAAATTCGCACAGATTTGACCTTTTAACGTCCCTATCTGGAATTGTGATTTCTAAAATAGATTAAGGAATTAAAGATAACATTCAGATTAATAATAATATAAACATTATATATATAATAATATATAGTATTCATTAGGGTTAAAATTACGAAATTTTTTTTTGTATAAATAAAGAATTTATGAACCTAGCTTCTCAATAAGTTCAAAAGCGAATTAAGCTAATTAATACTAAAATTATCATAATAAACTATATAACATTTTAAAAAAAATGTCTTTATACCGGCCTGAACATAAATTTGAGCATTTCGAGAATTCAGTATCTGGCAGTTGGGATCCATCTTTTGATGTTCACGAAAACGAAAATGAAATTATTGTAAATGCTGAATTACCAGTATGTATATATGACAAGATTTATTATACCAGTAATTCACATTTTTTGTAACTTTAATTTATTTGATTTAAATAGGGAATCACTAAAGAACAAATCAATCTTGATGTTCGTAAAAATGCACTTGTAATTTCTGGTAAAAATAAACGAGATGAAAAATATGAAGAAGGAAATATACATATTCAAGAACATAGTTATGGAAGTTTTACTCGTGCTATTTCTCTTCCTCGTAACGTTAAAACTTCAGATATCACAGCTAAGTTTGAACAAGGTATACTTGAAGTGAAACTTCCAAAGGATGAGAATGAGGTGTCATCAGACAGAAAAATTGATATTCAATAAATAATATATATATACAGTATATAGTTGATAAATACATAGTTAAATCTTATTATATCGATATAGATACATATATAATTAAATATTATTAATTTTATTAAATAATTTTATCAATATAATCTATATATTTATTTTATATTATTTATTAATATATACAGCATTATCATTAGTTAACGATTGTTAAAGTTGGTTTCCTAAAATAAAAAGTTTTGTTTTTGGATGTCCTAAAAGTCCTAAATTATCCTAAATTATCCTAAATTATCCTATATTTTTTACTAATGTGAAAGTACTAACTATTGACGTAAATACACTTTTGGATCACACTTCGCTTCAAGCTGCAGTCCTACAACGTAGTTATATTAATAATTAAGTTGGTAACAGTAAAGCAAGACAGGCTATATTTCAGTCATGGCTGATGATGAATTGGTCATTAATATAAAGAAGAAAATTGGGTATTAAAAAGAATAAACACAAAGCGTTCGAATATTATCAAAATCTGATAGCAATTTAATTTTAAACTTCAACAAAGATAACATATAATTGATAATCATCTATACGTATATAATTTGATTTTTATTTTAATTCCACTAATATCGATACAAGAAATTAATAAGTTTTTCGCACATAATAAATTATGATGTTGATTTAGAAACAAATTAGGTGGGTACTGTGTGAAGAACCAGATATTGTATTTGGGGAATATATTATATTAAAATTAACCAATAAATATGCATAGTTATATTCTCGGATATTATTCAAGAAACAGTTGGTAAGGATAGTGAGTAATACCCGAATCTTAAGCAGTGGCCAACGATAACCGAACCCATTGATCTCTGATTCATGGTCTACCGATTCAAATGTTTACTACAATATCGATATTAAATAATTTTTCAGATAATTATTTCATTTCAAACCCTAAATCGAGACCGTTTTACATAACTGTTATGAAAAAAAAATTAATTACTGATCGACACTTTGAATTCATTATACATCAAAGCAAGAATAAAATACGATATTGAAATTATATTTTGTATAATTTAATTGTAAGGATTTAATTTTATTCACTTTAATTTTAATAGTAGTGATTATATCGCTGTGCCAATAAGGAGATAAGTAGAATTCTCTATTTTCGGATACATAGCTTTATTTTAGAAGCTAGGTATCCTAAAATTATCCGGCAGGTACTATGTATACACTGACGGAAAAAATTCCATATTATTGCCGCAGGTGTTTATTAAAATCATGTG